TTTCTAATTACTATTAGATCTGGCCCGCCGGTATATTGCACACACACCTTCACTCCATCCTGAGGGTTTCCTCAGCTCAGAGATGAGATGCCAAGTATCTGGCTTGAACTAGCATCACAGAGCAGCACTGAGTTTCAGGGGATGTTTCCTTCTGCACTTTGTTTCTTGAGACAACAGGGCATGTTAGGTTTCTCTTTGAGGGAAATAGTTTTGTTGAAGCTGTTGTTGGCCTGTGGAAAAATGTAATCATAAGAAATGACTGGAAAATCTGCAGATAGAGCCATAAGAAATGAATGCATCTGATTATTTAATGTTTAATGTTGTTTTTATACGCAATAATTTAAGCTTTGTTAGTTCCCGGTTTAATATGTGCAATAAGTTCATTTCAATAAGTTTTGCAATAAACATTAAACCAGTCCGGCCCTCGACTAGTACCCGTTTTTAAAATGTTGGCCCACTGTGTATTTGAGTTTGACACCCCTGTTATAGTTCATAATGTGATGTTTAGAAAACTGTCACACACAGGTTGAGTTTCCCAAAGGAACCATTCAGCCACTAAATATACTCATAGAAATATATAGACCGTTTTTTTAAATGTTTCAAGAATTCCAGTTGCTCCCTTGAGATATCTCCCAGATGTCCTCTTTTCACAAAATAAAAGACAGCCTTGACTAAATTGCCTCTGCCGAGTTGTATTTATGACCCCGAATCAAGGCTGAATTATTTTGAGCAGAGTTGTTATAGCTATCTGCCTCACACCTAGCATTAGTCTATTGGAGGCTCTATAGCTACAAGTGAACATTTGTTCTACAGGAATGCAGAGTATGCAGGAGAGTGGGGGGATGGGAGGGGGACAGCAGCTCGGCTGAGTGGAGGACTCCCTTTTCATCCTGATTAAAAGCATTAACCAAGCTGTCTTCTGCAGAGCAATGCAGACTCAAATAAACATTTCCGAAAGAAGAAAGCATTGTGGCATTTATTGCATTTCTTTTTTCTTATATTGCCTCTTAAATGCTCTTTAAACACTTGTCTAAAGGACTATTGCTGAAATACTTGTAATGTCGACATCAAGGGAATGTAAGATATGGAATGACGTTATTTCAAGATAAAAGTCTTGAAGTTTGACTTCACTATTAACAACAATGGCTTACTGATAATACAAGAATGTACCGAGTGGTTGAATGCACCATTATGTGGTTTTTCTTTCATTTAAGAAGCAGATTTTTGAGGGGATTGGAACATGTTTGAGGTTATTCTTGCTGTAAACTCATTTCAAGAGAGATATGATTTGGGCTAGGCTGTTGAGACTGTTGTCAAAATGATATTTGAATTCACCATTTTGGGTCAACGGACATGTTATTGAATGAAATGTTGAGTGTGATGCAGATCGGTAAGAGCTTAAGGTTCACTAATGGTGTGTGTTGGAACGTGCGAGTGGACAAAGATCACCTCTGGGACGGGGACAGGGGTCACCCGCTCAGTCAAAACTCGTACAGCTCAGCCTCACATTCTTTTCTTAGGTTACATTCTTTGACCATTGTTGGGAAACAATTCTCGCGAGCGCTGTGAGTGTGGGCCCGGTTATGAGAGAATGTGTAAATCTACAACACAATCTAACCCTGGGGAATCAATAAGTGTGAAGTCGCGGGCGTGAACGAGGTGGGTTAGAGTTAACTGGAGCTTACGGTGACCGATGCAGTTCCCCTAAGGGTTTCCGTCAACCAAACGTGCGCCTCCAGCTTAAAAAGTGGCGGGTGTTCTGAGAGGAATAACAAGCATCTCCCCAAGTTGTCTCTGTGTGAGGAGCTATGAGCGCACGCTGAGGGAGATACAGACCTGACCAAACAGACAGGCCTTTCAGCAAAATGAAGCATTGTGTCTTTTCACACAGTACTCCAGTGACAGAGCTTTCCAAATATGAAAAGAATAACATGAGAGTTGGCATGTGCCTCGCTGACCTCTCCTCTGCTTCCCTCACTGCAGCTCTCTATCACATGGAGACCTGTTGCTGTTACACTGTTTATCTTTTCACGCTTAAAGCTAACATATGCTGCTAATCAAACAATGATAACGCTAGAGGCAGAGGCAGCAAGAGTAACCCTGACTCAACTTTGTTTAGCGATAAATGTTTAAAGAAAATATAGATTAAACCCCTATTACTACTTATAGGTTAGTTGTGGAAAATGTCAGCTTTTTTTTTAAAGAAATATACATTTCCTATACACCTCATTGTAGTTGCCATTCATTTTTTAAATTACTTATTTAATACAATTCAACAAAGAAGATTTGTTTTTCATGCATGTTCATTTCAGTCACCCTAAAAATCACTTTTAAGTTAGAATTACTGCATGGCCTATTGCATAGTTGATTCTGATTGGTCAATTTGGACATTCAGAGTTCTGTACTGTAGACTGGTATTAACTAATGTGCTTTACAGAAACAGACAGTTGTTATCAATAAAGAAAACTGACCTTCTGTTGCTTTTTCCAGCTGTGTAACCTCTCGGATCCCTTACACAAAAACAACAAGACATTATACAATCTATTTATAGATATAATCATCGCACACTGGGAAAGGTGTCTACGATCCAATCATCATGATTTGGAACATAGGGACTTCCAAGTTAACATTTACTGACATAAACATTGAGGTTATTTAAATATTTCCTCAGAACCCTTTTAAAAAATATAACCTCAATGGTACCTTCCTGTCTAAATGAAGGATAAATTGAATAAAAATGTCAACCTGGTCATCAAAACTCTTTAATGTGGCAAAGATAAAAGCATTCAAAGGTGATCATTAGTGTCTGCCTTTAAGACGACGGCCTGGATTGCTCCAGGGCCAGCCAACAGGAGCCAGACTTAAGACAATGTTCAGGATGTTCAACGTATGGGCCAACAAGAATGTATGATCATCAATACTCAACATTGTCAGTCTCTAAATCACATTTCAGCTCAGGGATGATTCATGTGTTCGTGCTTGCTAGATTTTAAGGTGGTTGATTCAGTTTTGGTTTACTGTGTGTAGCATTCTAAGTCAGATGTATATTTAAAACAACTGTGACCATATTCCACCAGACTTACTAATAAAAACGTCTCAATGTTTACTTTGACAGCAAACCACATTATAGTAGCAGCATTTTGTCTGAGTTGTTTGACGAGGCTACTTGTGTCAGTGTAAATAAACCACTAATCCAAACTACACATAGCTGAATTAAATGATAGGGTCGTGTTGTATGACTCCATCTCCTGCTCAATAAGAGCTGCTGTTAACGGGGAGGCAAATATCCCAAATGTTTTCGCGATGGCTCAGAGGAACACTCAGCATGACGCAAGCCAAGGCTTCCTCACAGAGGCCTCACTCCTCCCGCCAGAGGAATGGCTAAACAACTCACTCCCACTCCCAAACCTGCAGCTGGACCCCAGCATGGGAGAGTGTGTGTGAGAGTGTAGGTATGTGCCTTTTAACTCAACAGCAGCAGCAGCAGTAGTAGTTGTGGAATAGTGGAAGTCTCAAATTATTGACTACACAGAAGAAAAATCCTCTATCAATGAAACAACAACAGCGAAGACACAAACAAATATAATCACAAGACTTTAAGCACTGGTTTGATTTAATTCATTGCTATGATAAAATGAACAAACTAATAAAATAAGTGCTTACATTATTTGTTGATTAATTGTCAAGTAGATAAAAAAAACTTGAAAATGTCACTTTCTTCCGGATTCCTTTAATTTAACACATCTATAAAGTAATTGAATACAAGAATACACAAATTAACTGATAATGAAAAGTAATACATGACATACAGTAAGTTACTTTTAGTGTATGTAGTAGGATGCCTTGTTAAACACTATGTGAGAATGTGTGTGGGTGGAGTGTTTGTGTCTGCAAACAAGAGCAAAGCCATCAAACCCAAGTGAGAAAAACAGAAAACTTTCGTAGTCTATGTCCGCTCTGGTGTCTGCTACTGCTTGTGCGTGTGTGAAGCACTTTGTGGGTTTGTGTAGCTCTTAAGAGGCTAACAACACTGCATGTGCTCCGGCATGTTAGCGGTGAGGCTGTTATCACACTATACACCGACACTCCAGGTGGTTCTGGCTGGGTGTCATGTTGGCAAACTTTGAGCTGTGGTTTTCTATCGGTTATATCAGAAAAACACACAGAGCTTTCCTGAACTTTTAATCCTTTACGGTGCCATGACTGCAACTATGTTCTGTGGGTGTTAGCAGCACAGAAGGCATCAAAGCAGAACGAAGACAGTGTTTGTGATATACTGCCTGAGTCAAAGAGAAAAGTTCACTGTTACACCGTTTAAAAAAAACTGTTGGTGCGTTAAGCAACTGTGATACATGTGAACAACTGGCCAAACTAAAAAACTTGTCAATACAATCCAAGTTTATCTACAATGGAATTTTCTTTTAAAGAATTCTAGCTATCTGCATCATCCTTGGCTCCTTTCTAGATATATGGTCAGCAAGTACACGAGAAAAAAATCCATCATAGAACAGATATGTGCTCCACAGGCAGTAGCCTCTTATCAAAGTTAAGGACTTACTCAAATGAAAAAGCCTTACGTTCTTGCGCTTATCATGTTCCATGAATATTGTCTCAAATACTCACTTAAGGCCACACATTTCTCACACTATCTGGAGTTAGTTGAAAGGAAGTATTTGTAGAATTTGCAAGAAATCCCAACTTAAGTAGAAGTAGGCGAGAGAAAAGTGACACAAAAGGTTACTGCTATCTGTATACAATTTGGCAACGCCCCCAGCCACTGGGATCCGCTGGGTTTTTGGTTGGAATCCGCTGGGTGGAGTCCTATCTGGAGTGCTACATCTGTATAACCCATAGCTTACAACAAACATGCAACATTGATTTGGGTAACTAACAAGTATCCAATTGTGGATTTAAGTCTTCAACTGTGACTTGTATGGTTTTTCCACTTCCCCCCCTGCTCCTGCACAAACACCTCTGCATTCAGCTCCCCCTGAACTCACCTTTACACTGGAAAGCCTCTTTTAGGTTGAGCAGCACATCAGCGAAGCCCCGTACATCATTCACCAGATGCATGACATACTCTGGATCCACTCCTGGAGCCCCCACCAGATGAGAGGTGAGCCCCATGCTGCTCAGAGGGTTGGGGTTCTTGGAGCTGCGGCCCATATCCCAGGTCTTGGTGGATCCAGCAGACAGAGATACTGTGTGGGGCTTGGATAGATGTCTTGGTAGACCCTGGGTTTGGTTATTTCCACCACCACCACTGCTGCTCTTCCGTTGCATCCCAGCAGCCACCCTTTAAAAAAGGGGTACAGCAGGCCAGCTAGCCCCTGAACTTAACACGCTGCCCTGGTCCTTGGATGGCTGAAACACAGAAAAATATGGGTTAAGATGGTGTGTCTTTGTGAGTGGGAGTTACTTTTCCAAATGTGTTAATCTACTGTATAAGAAAATTATTAAAAGTCTGTATAGACAGTAACCCTTGATAAGCAAAGTAAAACATTTACACATCTAATAAAGAGCCAATACATGTGTCCTGTAACAGACAGATAATCACTTAACCCTACTTACATTTAATTATGTGAGTTTCACATAAATAAAAACTATGAGAGTTACACAAAGTTTAGTGTTTAACGTTACAGCAAGCATAACATATTTAAGTTCATTTTGTTATTTGCTTTCACAATATGATTTACTTTTTAAAATTACTTACAGCTAGGCTAACGGTACAACTTTAAGCACTGTTTTGCTGTTGCTAGCTTGTTTGTAAAATAACGTTATACGGTCAATACATAACAGCAATGCAACACAACTGTAATAAAAAGGAAAATAGAGAAAAACAAAGATTTAAATGAACAAAAATAATCAACATCTCGGGTATTAATTATAGAACTCGACAGCAACACGAAACCGACATTTCTTTTTCCGGACAGTTTGCAATGAAAAAGTGATGCTGTCGACCCGGGACATAAACTGCTTTGCTGGCACAGGCAGAAAAAAAGCGCTACTTTAACTCACCTGCTCTGCATTTTACTGACATAATGGCCACGGTATCCGAACAAAATGTAACTTAATAAAGTCTGTGAAAACCGACGAGCATTTCCGTTAGAAAAAACAAACTCCAACAGCGGCAGAAAGTTGTGCGCTTTGAGTCACTGTACATCGGAAAGTAGCCCACAATCAGCAACTCTCAAGTCATTCGTAAATTACCAGTCGGTTTATCACGTGACGGTAGAGACACGTTTTGATTGGCCAGATGCTTTCAACGGAAAGGAACTATGATGCGTTCAGGTGCAAGCGGACATTTCGCAAACGGATTGAACTGGATTCGTATGCATTAACTTCACAAAATGGTTTAAATAATATTTTATGACAAAAAATATATTACATTTGTGAAGACCTTGAAATAATGCATCCGTGTGATTGTAACTATTTTTCCCCCTGCAAAAATAAACATTTAAGAGACACTATCACATAACATGTCAATGGATAATGGATTGTACGATTGCTCCTGAATGTGCTAAACACTGTCCTTTTTACATTTCTTAGCATTTTTATATTATAAGGACTTGCAATACGATTAGACATTACATTATATTGCTGGCTTGTCTGTAAATTCATGAGCACAGGACATTTGTTACATTTGTGTGACAAATGTGCCACACCTTAATTCATGTTGCAATATACAGTATTGCCCATATTGCCAAATTATTACGTTTCTTTCACTTGTTTTACTTTTTGCTTCGATGACAAACGTATGGTTAGAATTTCCCATTACTTATTTGAAATAGATCCTTTCTCTGAAATAGATCTTTCTCAGCTCTGTTAGATTAGTTTAAACAAGCCTCCAGTGCTGTAGTACATTTAAATAGTGTTATTAGTTGGCATTGTACTATATAATATGTTACCTTTGACACATTAATTAAATAATTTCTGTATATTTAAACTGGGCACGCCATTGTTCTGTTCAGCAGCAAATAAAACGTGACACTTCTGGATCCATAACACAAGTCTTGTTTACAATGTAAGACCCTTTATCAGACACAAAGAATAATATCAATATTAATTAGGAAATAAAACATTAAGTCATTGTGAAAAGTGACCACATCCTTAAATTATAAATTGAAAATGTAAATATGTTATTTGCAAAATAAGTTGTTTTGATCAATGGGTATTTTCTTATACTGATAAACTAGGCCACAGCCTACTGACACCATTGCTGCCCTCTAGTGTAGATATCTAACAATAGGACAAGCCCTGGATAAGTAGTGTTTGAGAAAGTTGATATAAATATAATTTTGAATCCACAAAAATTGAAGGTTTTCCCTCCGAAGAGTTGTATTTCAAAAGCAGTAAATAACTCTAATTCAAAAATATATGTGTTGTACTATGTTAAAGGGATGTGTCATGTAGTCAGGAGAAACTGTGAATAAAAAAAAAAGCAAAGAATATAATTTACATGGTTAATCAGTGTTTGTCTTTATTTCAATATACAAAAAGATGGATGTATTCTCATCTAGTTTATATTTCTAAGCATTTCAACTCACAGATAAAATTACCATTCGTACTGTTTTAGTGAAACCAACCAACAGACACACACACTGACACACTGCGCACACACAGTTCACATAAACAGAGGTCACACACTTGCAGTCAAACATCCATACACACTATGAGATGAAAAATATGTTGACTGTAAAAAAAAAAAAAAAAATAGAAAGAATTTTGCTTTCACAGGATTCACACATGAAAAGGAAGAAAACTTTTACACTTGTCAAGTAAATATATACACAATAATTGATTTTTTTTTTGTCTTTTCTTAGTTTTTGAAGATGAGACTGACTCCATGTTAGTGTTACTAACGAGGTACTGCATGAGGTAACTGGTTTTCTGTTCAGAAGAGCTGGGTGTAAGACAGCATTTGGAGGTAACGAACGATAACGGCAGATTTTCCTTTGTGATCGTTGTTTTTTTCTGGCACAATACGTGAAAGCACCTGGGTCCCGTTCTGCTAACACACAACAAATTCACCCCACAGCATTTCTTCAATCGGGAGGTTTAACATGTGTCCTCATCAGAACACGATCCAGGTGTGATGAGATGAACTTTATTGATCCGCAGAAGAAAAACTGCTAAGTCACAGCTGAGTTTAACTACTTAAACTAATGATATTCAAGTGACTATTGCTGTATAATAAATATTGCTGGACCCTGGGACTAGCACATGCCACTGTTAACATGAATCACAACGGGGCTGCATTATAAATCATTCAATCATGTAGTTATAGACACATTGATGACATCCAAACACTAAAACCATTATTATGTATGGATTGATGTTCTTCAACACCAACTGCACAGGAGCAAGCGTCACAGACCACTGTTAAAATCACCATCTCTTCACAGCACCAGTCAAAGCACAACAGATGAGCCTGTGTGTCGTCCAACGCGGTTAAACTATCACCAAACAGGTCTGAACATCACATCAGCGGGTTAATATTGAGGTAATACTGTTCAAACTGGCATTTCCAGCAAGTGGCCAATCACAGAAGCCGCCAGCACCAAACCATTAGGGATTTTTTGTGGTATTTTTGACGATATACATACTAAGCTTTCTAAATGCAAGTGCTACCTACACAGCTTCTGATTCAGAGGAACTGATACCGTTATTCATAGAAATCTGCAAAACAAAAAAAATTCTTTCATTCTTGAAAAACAAAAGTATATATATATGTTTATATAGAAAATAAAATAAATCACAGGGCTAGTTGTCAGTCAACTTACTATTAAATATGTCGAGGTGGAACTGAGAAATCCCTTTCAATTTCTGTGAAATGAGAACAATAATGCCCTGATTTTGTATTTTTAAAAAACAGATCAGTGTTCGGCAACTGTGTGTTACAGGTCTATTTACAAGAATCTGCCCCTCTTCTTTTAGGTTTGTACAGCATAAACACCGTGACGACTGGTCAGGCTCTATTCAAAAAAATCTCCACAGACAAAGAGGCCCAACCGGCAATAAAATATCTCAACTACTAAAACACAATAAAATACACAACACAACTTGATATACATGTAGAAAAAGCCTGAGGTACTTGTCAGAATATCTGAGGTCAGTCTGGAAGAGTAAGCAGCTGAGGGCTTACCCAGTCAAAAAACACAAAAACAGAATATTAGCCTCACATAATATCATTAGCGTTATATTAACAAAGAATACATGTACATCTACAAATCCTTGAGTATCCTGGAATAGTCACAGCAGCATAACGGACATTCAATGTATGGTATTCATGTTATGGTACAACTATGGCATTGCATTTGAGACAAAGGCAACCATTTGAGCACTCCTTGCATGATGTACAGTGACTGAGGTATCTGGGGACTGGTGTCCGACTGAGTCTATTGAACAAACACCCATGAAAATTAAAAAAACAGACATGTTGCTTACTCAAGTATGGCCCTCAAGGATAAACCCCAACTATCTTTCCATGGTTCTTACTTTAAAAACACGCTCTTTCCATCTCACACCATTTAGTCTTCAACTTCTCACTCATTCACTCGCTCACTCACTCACTCAGACAGTTAACATCAAGAATGTGTAACATTGCAACTCCAGACAGCATCCGTCAATGCCCCTGGCACTGGCAAAGGAGTAACTGACATTTCTACAATTAAAAACAAAATAAAATCCAGGAATACGTCCATGATAGCTAGCTGGATAGCATGGCTCTCAACTTAGAGAAAATGTTCCAAAGAAGCCTACTGGATACCTGAGAGGTAGTTCCCCGGGGACAAGGCGCTTGTCCCAAATCTTCAAAAAAAGTCCAAACGTCCAATACAACTGCTCAGCTCCCGTTTCAGCTCCTGCCTTGCGAGAAAACAGCTGTGCTCCGATTTCTTTTCATCTTATTCATTCTGAGGCATTCACAGGTTTAAAATAAGGGAGCACACTCGAGTTAAAAAGAATCGAGAAGCTTCGACCCCTGAGGAAGATGAATATATTTTGTTTAACAGTCTCAAAACGGTTCCTCCGAGGTGTGCAGCACGTCGTCCGAGGTTTGGAGCAAGAGTTTGTTTCGTTTGGCCGCAGAAGATCATGACCAAGACAGGAAAACGACAGAGATAACAACTTATGAGGTAATAAAAATAGACTAACACGAAAGAAATACATGAGGTAATGATGATATTTAGGATTTGACACATGGTTGTTATCAGATGTGCCCATCGCATAACTTATTACTACTTCAAAACTACAGCAGATGGATGTGTTAGTAGTAGATCCGACTTAAAACACCAATTAACTGAAATACCAGTATTGGGGGGAAATAGCAGCTGCATTCAAGTTGCTAGTTGTTGTTTTTTTAAACGTTTTTTAAATATTCACGGAGATCCGCGAGTTTGGATTTGAGAAATAAAAAGTCAGGAGCTCAGGGGGAAAGGTGGTGTCCCCCGTTCAGGTGCTGGACTCTTTGGGAGGTAGGTCCTCGTTGGTGAGAGACGTCACGATGGAGACGGGGCTGTCTGAGGTAGTGCTGCTGGTCGTCCTGGAGATCTGGCCGATGCGCTCCTCCACGCAGCCGGCGGACAATCGCGCCTCTGCGTCGTGGTCCCAGCATTCTTCAATGGTCTCACACATCTGGTTCAAACCCTGCAGCCACAAACCAGAAGACACAGGAGAGTTAGGATCAGTGGGGTAAAGCATCTAAGTACATTTACTCGAACGCTGTACTTAAGGACAATTTTGAGATACTTGTACGTTACTTGAGTATTTAGATGTGTTTTTGGACTTCAGAGGTACACATTTGTATTATTAATACTTTGAGTTACTTTGCAGATTTGGATTTACAATGTGAAATATAAACACACTTAGACAAGACTTTAGTTACACCTTGAGTAAATTCACAAGCTTCCCTGCGCTATATAAAGTCATTAGAATAAGCTGTACGTATATTTTGATGCTAATACTTTTGTACTTTTTGAGTAAAGGACTTTTACTTCTAACAGAGTATTCCTACACTCTGGTACTTCTACTTTTACTTAAGTACAGGATGAGTACTTCTCCCACCTCTGGTTAGTTCGTATAAAACCCAACTTTAAATTAAAATCTATTCCATAGGACAGAAATGCATTCCTTTTTCTGCGTCCTGAAAGATTAAATGTAACTGAAAAAGGTTTCAGGAACATCGAC